AGAAAATGGTGTTGTATGTGCGTAGGGAAGTTTTGAAATCTGCACCTTCCCATCCACACTGGAGGGAAATTCAGTTTAATTCTTATGTTTCTGGAAAGATCAGAAGTAAACTGGTTCCAGAAACACTGGAACAAACCATAGGAAAACACAGAAGTTGATGGAAAAAGGCATGATGGTGGAAGATGACATTGTGTGGATTCTGTGATAATCCCTGCTTCCATTTGAAAGCCAGGGCAGAAGAAAATTTCCAGGTGGAAGCAACTCTAAATTCCTTTTTCTATATCGTTCACTCTTTGTACTGTTCCCTGCATTTGGTATACCTCCTAGTCCGTAGTTGTTATGTGACTTCTGCCTTATACCTCCAAGTTTTTTCTTATACAAAACAAAACATCATGGACTGCTAATTCTGCACATTCTGTTCCCAGTTAACACTTCCCCCTACTCCACCCTTATTAAGCCAAGTTCTTTTCCAGATCTTTGTTGTACTCCATGATGTTACAGGAAAGATAGATAGACCTCTTGTCTATGGAACAGTTGTGCCTTTTTCATAATATTTATTGGATATTTATGTGGCTGAAAATACATAGCAAATATGCCACATGACTGTCAGAGGCAATTGAGCATAAGGTTATGATATGTTTTCAGACACACAAATTCCAATTTGAACATTACAGGAATGATGTAGTTGGCAGATAATGGAAATATGCATTTTTACTGTAGTGTATAAAAAGAATTCAGCCTGCTGCCTCTAAAACTATTTTAGTGCTTAGCATGTTATACCTGTGCTTCTGTGGAATGAAAACATCACATTAAATTATTTCTTAAATTGGAATAAGTTTTTAACACGAAGTAAAAGTGCTTTTACTAACAGTATATCATATATACTGAGTATTCTAGTGGTGCTGTGGGGGATGTCTTGTCTCTGGAAGGATTTTTTTTTAATCTACTGGGAATATTTTTAATAGCATTCTGACTTTCATTTTCTGACAAGGCCGTCTTCTTCCTCCCCAAAGGAATACTTGTTTTATATGCAGTGACAGCTGTGAAGGAGGCAAAGGAAGACCAGACTCACATCACTTACCTTCCTACTTGTCATCTCTGCATTTTAAATAGTAGGAGTATGTTCTTCGCTTTTACTAGTCTTAGTAAAAGCTGTGGGTTTTTTTTTTGTCCTTGGAACATAGTAATATCAAGCCATATGGGATGCCTGCATTTGCAATATGACTTGTTTTATACTTGGATTCATGGGCTTAGTTCCAGGCAATGACAACTGTGCCTTTATGCCATAGAAGGTTCTTTGGTCGTCCTTCTGTAGTTTGTGTGTGTGTGTCCTGGCCCCACTGCTAGACCTCCTGATGGCACCTGGTATTTTTGGCCACTGTGTGACAGAGTGTTGGACTAGATGGGCCATTGGCCTGATCCAACATTGGCTGCTCTTATGTTCGTGTGTGTGTGTGCGTGTGCGTGTGTGTGTGTGTGTGCGCGCGCCTACAGGCTGCTTCCACACAGTGATGTTTCTCTGAATTGACAGCAGTGGAACCCTGCTTCTAAACCTAACATCCATACAACCTCATGCTCCAGCTCCTTCCAAACATGAATTGTGGGCTTCCTGGTGCTTTTCCCTCTGAACCAGCTCAAAGAAGGAAGAGGGAGATGGTTGGGGGCAGTGTGTCATACAGATGCTTGCCCCCAACTAATCTGGGGAGGGAGGGGGAGCTAAGATCTGCATTTCCCCCCTCTACTTTCTAGCCCTTTAACAGGATTTTCCCTTTCATTCATAGCTGAGCTGTGGTTCAGCTTTGCCCTGCATATCAGCTGGAAGAGGGGGGGGTGTTCTTGGGCCATGCAGAATATTGACCTGATTGTCATTGCATTGCCAGTGAGCACAATGGGGATGGGGTGTGTGGACACCCTCCCTCCTTGTTTTGACACCACTCACTGCTGCTGCCACAGCAATGGCACAGTTTTGTGCCTTCTATGGAAGCACTCAAGTTAGTGTGCATGGAATTTGCATGGAGGCTATTAGTTCAAAATAGTTAGCAGTCTTTAATGGGTGATGGAGTTGAAAAAATTAACCTGACTTAAGAGACTTCATGACCTTCATCTGATCTTCCTCTTTTACCTGTCAGCATTCTTTTGTTGCCTGAGGTGATGCTTACATTCATTGGCGTATTTATGCAGAACAAATTGCAAATCAGCAGGCAAAATTAAAATGGCCTTTTGCCAATGCGGAGTCCTTTTCTGTTGTGCTTGCTTATTAAGTGCCAGTGGAAATTTAGGAATGCTGATGCTGTGTGGAAAAGATCAGCTTAATTTTTATAACATCACTAATTTGTGCATTTTATGTGGCATGCTCTATATAATAATTGTTGTTTACATTTTCATTAGTAGACCTCTTCCTATGCTCATACACACATCACACGTTCTCTAATGCTATTCTGTGTGATAAAAGAGTAATGAACAGGATGGTTTAGTCAATACCTGAGTCCTAAACACACCACTTAATAATAGTTAACATTTATATAAAGCTTCAGATTGTTCAGCACCCTTCATATTTGTCTGTTGGCTATCCCACCAGTTAGGGTTGCCTGTCTGGAATCGACCAGAGCCCAAGCCTTTTCATTGTGACTATGGCTCTGTGGAATGGGCTCTAGGGTTGCCAGGTGCCTTCCACCTGAGGCTGAGTGGTCAAGGGGTGGGCAGGGATCTTCCAGAAGTGATGTCATTGTGTCGGTAATGTTGGGGCGATGCTCTACTTTTTGGGCAAAACTCTATAGTAAAAATGGCTACAAACCATGGAGTTTTGCCCCAAAAGTAGAGCATCGCCCCCTATGTTGCTGATGCGATGACGTCACTTCCAGAAGTGATGTGAGCACGTTACTGACGTTGATGGGGACGTCTATTTGGGAGTGGCGTTTCCCCACCAGCCAATTGGCTGGAAGTGGACTGGAGCCCATAAAAGCAGTGGTTGTTAGGGTATCAACTGCCTGCAGGGGGAAAAAGTCACATCTCTTTAAAAGAGGTTTATGTACAGGTGATGCTATGCCATGAAATGTGTCACCTGCCCATTTCCACATATTAAGCTTCTAAAGCAACAGGACTTCCCCCCCCCCTCCAAAGCACCTTGACAACCCTAGTGGCTCTGTCTGGAAAATGGGGGGGTCATTCAACTCTTACAGGATACCTCAGAAAGTAATGTTAGAAATTATTATAAATACCTCTCACACTTAGTATTTGTTTGTTTGTTATTTTGTTCTTTAAGGTGTTGACTCCAGCACAGATCAAATCAATTTGTCAGGCAATTTTAGAATCTGGCAAACAGTATGCACTGCGGAAGAGGAAACCAGTTCCACTCATGTACTCTTACTATGGAACAGAGTATCTTGGTAAGTAGGAAAAAAGTCAAGGTTGATATTACTAGGAAAGCTCCCATTGGCCCCTGCCACACGGGGGGGGGGGAGTACGGCCAAAGTGTGGCTTTTCAAAGCCGCACCAGCAGTGGCGGCGGGGTCACACAGATCCCCTGAGCTGCTGCGCAGTTCCTCCCCGGCACGATCAGATGCTGGGGGGAAGCCACTGAAAGGAGAGCGAGGCAGCCGAACTGCGCATGTATGTGCGTGCGCAATTTGGCCGGGAGCCTCGATTGCTCCTGCAGACGAGCGCGCTGGAGATCTCATGGCCACATTTGCTGCAGTGCTTCAGGTAAGTCCTACCAGTTAGTAGGTTCTTTTTTGCACCGCATTTTCGTTCTGAAGGGACGGATTGGGAACGGGTATGCGCAGATTCCCAGATGTTGCGGTGGGATCGCGCCCATTTGCTGCGCCCCCGATCCATCCCTCTTCCGGGCCAAAACCTCCCGTGTGACCGGGGCCATTATTTATTAAAATAACTTATTTATATTTTAAGTGGTTCAGTATCAAAGACATACATACCAACTAGAGAGACAGCAGACAAACACCATTTAGTTAATAGGTGTAGGCTTTCTTTTGTTCAACTGACTAATGATTGGATGGTTATTACAATAATGATTTTACATTGTAGAATCAGAAGGGAACTATGAGACACCTAGCCCAACCCCTAGTGGGGAGGAAGAACCCTCTTTTTATAGTCCCCTACAAACCAGCCTGTGCTGTCCAGATTACAGTGGCCATTATAAGAGAGCAGATGCTCTTCAGAAAGATACTTAATGAGTAAAGCTAACCAGCTTACTCATTCCCACAATTAACACACAGACAAACAAAAGTTATTTTTTTCTAAATAAGGGAAAGCAGACCATTTACATTTCTCAGAGATTATACTGTCCTGTAAAATGGATTCAGTGTTTCATTGGGTCATGTCTAATATATGCACTTTCCTAACAACTTCCCAAGATATTATAAATTGTCCATCTTTTATCTCTCTCCACCTCTTGTGAACGCCACTATTTATCCCTTTCCATTTGTCTGCTTATTCAAGCATTACCTGTCTCTTGAAATCCACTGGAAAACAGTTTTGTGTGGTGGTGTTCCATCTGGCACCCATGTGAGATTTTACTGCATAAATTTGATTAACTTTGTAGTGTTTCCAATGCATGCCAGTAATCTGACCTGATCCACAATGTAGGCAACTTACAATTATTACATCCATAACAGTGAAGAATTGTAGCCTCCACACACTTAAATTAACTCGAAGGGGCTTTGTTTTCGGGTCCCTAATATAAATAAAATTATGTTTGAAAGGTATGAATGCTAGCAAAGCTTATGCTCAGTCTATATACAGTTGGGTAATCAAATCAGAAAATATAATTTAATACAGAGATAATGGTAGGCTCAGAAAGGCAGGATTTAGCCATGAGGTTGAGAACTAGAATTGATTGCATGGGTATAAACAGGCATTAGCACAAAACCCCAGGTTTGCAAGAGTTCATAAAAGTAGTTTATGAAAGGATCATATTTATCTTAGATCTTCATGAGGGGCAGAGTTCTAAGATGTCAGTAAACACTAATAGAGAGTTCCAGGAGATGGGCAGGCAGGGTACCAGATTGTAGATGTACAGCGAAGAAGAGATGCACATCCATGGAAGAGCTCAGAAAAGCAAGAGCTATAAAAGAAGCCCGTACTATCACTTATGGTTTGCAAAGTCATTTGGAGAACTTTGATATAAAGACCTGCCTAGATTTCAGAGAAGATCTGCTAAACTGTCATTACAACAAACCAAACTGAGAACTGGGTGGAGTTACTGTACTAGAACAAATCCCATCTGAAATGAAGGGAAGACATGATAAATGTGAAATCCTCCCATTCCCTAGTCTTGACAAGTATTTTGCGAAAACATAGGCAGTAATCAGATGTAATTGTGGTGTTAACAATAATTTTTACATGGCGTGACCCTGTCTTTTGGGTGAGAGCAGTGTCTCCCAGCTGCTACTTCTAAAACCAAACTCCATGAAAATTCAGCAGAATACTGTTTATTTCAACTATTTCTTCCTTCACAGGGGCTGCTCATGGACTTTCATCCATCCTACAGATGCTGCTCTCTTATTATGAATATCTCCAACCTGCTGATCAAGAACTAGTGTGGCAGAGTGTTGATTTCCTTATGGATCAAGAACAGAATTCCAACTGGGCTCCAGAACTAGGAGAGACAATTGAACGAGAAAATGAGCTTGTTCACTGGTGTCATGGAGCTCCAGGTTCTTTCCATGTAGATACTGTGAAGTGAAAGTCTGATACATTACTCTTTTGCTCCCTGTTTTAGACAATATCATTTTGCTGAGTGTGATGCCCTCTGGTGGCAAGAGAACATCATACCTGGGGTCCATGGGGTCTTCAAAGCACTAGCCCAGTCATTGCTTTCTGTTGGCTTGGCTTCTTCCTTCCGTTCCTTCACTCTCTCCCTTAAGCCAACCTCATCCTGTTTTCCCTTCCTCCCTATTTATAGCCTCAGCTCCACACCTAGTCCCTGTGGTAAGCTCCACCCTCCTCTTCTATGTTCCCTGCTCTTCAGCCAGCTCCTGTTCTCCATAGCCATGCCCTGCCTTAAACTGCCTGGGCCCAGAGAACTACTGTTGTTCCACAGAAGCTTGCTCACTATCTCCACACCTTCTGAGCTTCCCTGTAGCAGACGGGCAAAGCTGTCCTGGAGTTGAGGCTACCCTGGCTGCGCCATCTTATAGAAATAAGAGCAAAAACTCTTCCCCTGCTCCACCGAACTAGAGTAAATCAGCAACAGGAAAATACCATAGTATAGATTATCCTGAACAGAGAGCACAAACCAAAAACAGGTTTCAACGAAATTAAAAGCCCACTTAAACAATGGAGACTCTACCACCTCCTGAAAGGCTAACAAAGATGATGCAAAACAAGCTTCATGGGGAAGGGAACTCGATATAACAGGGCAGCCACAGAGAAGGTCTGGTTCTGTTTAAGCACCTGCAGCAGCTCACAAGGCATGGGAAAACATTGCAGGGACTCTTCGGATGGTCTCAATGGTTAGGTAGGTTTGTACTAGGGTTGCCAGGTCCAATGGACCAGCCAGCAGGGGTTGGGGGTGAACTTACTGTAAGGGGGGGGAAGGAGCCGGAAATAAACGTGACATGCCTACATCACTCAGAAGTAGATGAGTAGTAGCAGTAGAAAAGAGCAAGAGTCCAGTAGCACCTTAAAGACTAACAAAATTTGTGACAGGGTATGAGCTTTCGTGAGTCACTACTCACTTCTTCAGATACTTTAGCAGTGACACACAAAAGTTCATATCCTACTACAAATTTTGTTAGTCTTTAAGGTGCTACTGGACTCTTGCTATTTTCTTAGACCCAGACAGACACTGTCTCTTCTCCTTCAGTGTCTGCACTATTGGTTTCTGTGTACAGGTTAGCATTTAAAAACTGCTCAGCAGTTTCCCAAACCTGATTTGGTATGACCTCTCCTTAAAGATCATACTCAAATTGATTTTTGGTGCAGTGTGGATGGCAAGGTGTGGATCTGGTGCCATTTCTCCCCTGCACCTACCATCCCCCCCCCCAATCAGTGTCAGGCTTTTTCTTGTATTGGCAGTAGATATACCACTGTAGCATTCTTAAAGGTATGAGGGAAAGCTTGGAGATCATCCCTTTGCAGATACTTGCAGCTGTGAATGCCTTGGCATTCACAGTGGCAATGAGAACAAAATGGGGTATTGCTCCCATATAAAAGTATCCAGTCTCAAGTCCCATATCTGACATCTGCTACCAATTAATTTTCTAATACCATTTATTCAACCTTTCCTTCTCCCGTCACTTTCTCCTGTCCAGTTTATTTAGCTTGCAGGCAGGGATAATTCTGAAACCTTAGTACATCAATAAATAACAGTAACAGTAGTAATAATATATTGAACAAAGACTGCTGTGTTGTGCAGACACGAGAAGAGTTAGATCCTTAACCTGAAAGTTTCACATTTGAGATTAGGCCACTATAATCAGGGGAAGAAGAAAAAGGGGGAAAGGACAAGACAGGAAAATGTAAACAAAAATTAAATAGAATGGAGTGGAATGGGTGAAGGACTAAGGGACAAAGGCAGGCAATTAGAAAACCTAAATGTAAAAGAATTTGCATGAGGATTTATATGTGGCATTGGAAGGGAGAAGCAATTAGATTGCTGAGAGAGTTCCAACCATGAAAGGTGAGAAGGGAGAAGGCAGGCATGGAGCCAGTTTAAAGAATGGGAAGCTCAAGGGCAAGCAAGCACCACAGAGGATAAGGCGACAGGAATGAATATAGAAATGGAAAAAGACAGATGAGGAGAGGAAGAAAGGTCATGAAGAATGTTAAAGGCAAATCCAAAAATATTTGTGCAAGATTCAAGTGAAAGGGAAATGTGGGAAGAAAAAATAAGTTTCCACTTCTGACAAGCTGAGCTTGAACTGATTGGACAGCATTGAACTGCAGTGACAGAAAGAACATTGTCAAGAAAAAGATCTATAGTGCAGAATTCAGCACCAGCATAAATAAAACTCAAGTCACATAAATATGTGAATTTACCCAAGAGGAGACCATATGAAGACAGATTACAAGAAACACAGGTGAAACAGCAGGGAACTGGATCTATGAAATCAAACAAGTGGAGAGAATGGAGAAAAGGAGGGTGGATCCTATGCCTGCCACGGAAGAGGCTCTGCTGGTGCAAGAGGGCAAAGGGGCAACTTCACCAGCTTCCCCCTCCTCAGGGCAGCTGCTCACGCTGTATAGCTTTTTGTCCAGCTGGGTCCTCCAATCCACAGCATCAGCCTTTTCATTACTCACAGGTGGCTGCTGGAGGAAGGAAAGGGCAAGGAAGACTCCCCACCTTGAGCTCATGGAACTGTAGGATCCAACCCATTATGATGAATCATGCCAAAGACAGTAGTATATTTTAGTAAAATGAGAATAAAATAACAGACCACTGGACTTGGCAAAAAAAAAAAGTTGTAACAGTAGGTACCAGAAAGTGGGGAGGAGGGAATGTCAAAGTTATAGGGAATAATTCAGAGAAGGATGAGTTTGTGATATGCTACCAAGTGGCAATATAGTAGCACCAATTGCTTTCACAAAGCCATAGACAATCCGACTAAAGAGGCAAATGGATTCAGGAAAGGTAGCTGGGAAGTCTGTCCTATCAGATAGTTTATACCCAGCAATAATATATAGATGAATATATATATTCACACCTCATTTCTTCAATGATACATATAATATTTCTTTGTTGTTTCTATAGGAATTGCATACATGTTTGCAAAGGCGTACTTAGTGTCCAAGAAGCCCCAATATCTAGACAGTTGTATCCGGTGCGGAGAATTGACATGGCAGAAGGGATTACTGAAGAAAGGGCCTGGAATATGTCACGGGGTGGCTGGCAGTGCTTATGTGTTCCTGCTCCTGTACAGGCTAACCGGAAACTCTAAATACATCTACAGAGCACAGAGGTTAGTACTGGTGGGTTTAGTGGTTTTACAAAGGCCTATATGAAACATAGAAAAGGGTTATAATTATAAATAACATTCTGTGTACTCTCTGAAAGTCCATTATATTTGTACTTGTTATCACTTTATAACTCAAATAAATAAATATTGAAGACTTTAATTGTTTTGTTTATATTGAGGTGTGCTGGATAAGCCAAACTGCGGTTATTTGGCTCTGGGGAGAAATACCTATCTTTTTTTCTGGGGCTAAATGCCACTCTGCCTCCTGTCTTTGCTTTGGGGTAAGGTTGTTGATCAAGCATTCACAGACTTCTGTCAGTCTGGTTTTGGCACTAACTGCACTTGCAGCCTTAATTAATAATCTCACCAGACTTCTGTCATATATGGTGGTCTTCCCCTTTTGTCAAATGATTTTGGATTAAAGTGGTTAAAGAAAAGGAATATATTAGGGATGCCAGCCTCCATGTGGGACATCGGGATCCCCAGGAATTACAGCTCATCTCCAGTCTACAGAGACCAGGTCCCCTGGAGAAATAGATGCCTCAGAAGGTGGACTCTGTGGCCTTGTACCCCACCGATGCCCCTGTTCTCACCAGGCTCTGTTCCCAAATCTCCAGGAGTATTCTAACCTGGATCTGGCCACTCTACCTACCCCATCCCCTGCCAGAGGCTGGGGGGACCTGGCAACATGAATTTTAAGCTTGAAAATACACCTAATGTTTGGTTGTTAGGAATGATAAAATATGTATCCATTGTTAACAGAGATACGGTTGTGTTCCACATGGGCATGGGATTTTGTGGTTTCTCCATTGCTGGTACAGCTGCAGATAAAGCACAGCAGCGACAAGGCTTCCGCATTGCAAGTTTCCTCACAGTTTCTTTGCCCAGTCCCCCAGGAGTGCTTTTTACCCTGGGTTGTAAGGGCTTTTACAACTCTTATATTTAAAATCAGCAGTAGAATATCAGAATAGAAGACTAGAGACTTACCTTTTAAAAAATGAAAGCTGAGTATTCAAAGAACCTGAATTAATATTAATATAACAATATTCTAGTGCCAATTTTTTTAAAAAACAAAAAGCCCCTGGTGGCAGGGAGAGGAAATGGCTACTGCAAAGAGAGGGTCAGGGAAAATGGCTACCACGTGGGCTGGG